AAACCTAAATTTAACCCTTTTTTTCTTTCTAGAATGACTTAAAATTGTAATATGAGACTACATTCGTTTATCTTAAGTAGCTCTAAGTTCGTAACAGTATACATCTATATATATAATTAAATTTTATTGTTTTATTGCCCTTTGAATCGTGTCTAACTACTATCTCTGCTTTTAAGTTGTAAATCACTTGCTGAACATGCAGCTTACATTATGCTATCAAATTACATTAACCACAGGCTGCTTGCGTGTGTGCTTTGTGAACCATTTTAATTATATTATTATTATTACTTATTTTACCTAACATAGTCTTAAATAACATTAATTTTTTTTTTAATTTTAATTACTCTTATAATAATAAATAAAGAATAAATATAAAAAACAAGAAGTAAAGTACTTACCCAATCTTCTTTTTCTTGTCCTTGATTGTCGAGGACAGTTAAGCCTGATTTTTTTATAGTAATTATAGTATTGCACTTAATTTTTATTTAATTAAATAATGCGCCATAGAATATAGATGGACTAATATCATGCAAAAAGTAGACAAATTCCCTTACCTCTCAAAATTTTTCTGGCTTTCTAATTATGCGACAAGAGCCATTACAAATTCATTCAAGCTAGTTGTTAACTTTCCCACTGGAACAAATCTTGTACTGTGAGCAGAATTGACAATATTCTTTTCAGAATACAATGTTATGCAATACGTCATTTGATAGATGAAAACCTTGATTTTCTATTGGTTATAAGTAATATATATATATAATGAAACATAAGAGAGAACTATCAACAAATTGTGAAAGAGAGGATGTGACATGTGGGTGTAGCAGGAGAGGTCTGATTTTCTATTGAATAGCTCTGTAACCAAACAGAATTGAAGACTATAGAAATTATGGTTTGTCTGAGCAATAACAATTTTATACAGAGTAATTTATGTTTAATTTTGTACTTTTTTCAAGGGATGATGGATTAAATAGAGATGATGACATGCTAAGAAAAAATGGGTCACATTTGTGGATATTCAGGATTTTTTTAATATTGCCTTGTAGAATTAAGAACTTAAAACTTG